AGTTGAATTTAGTAAGCTATCTTGTTAACGTTTGTGTGTCTATGAAACATGACTAAAAATTACCAAAAATGAACTATAAAGTCAAAAGCACCTAAGCTTTTGTATTTGTCTTGATTAATCATGTATATTTACATTTGATTTTATATGTCATTATTTGGTTCTAATTACAGTTGCATGATTATTATTTTGGATATTCTGTTTTTGGTAATTTTCTTTTTCTCATGCCATTACGTGTTCATGACCAGATTACCAAGGACTTTCATTTAGATTCTGATTTTAGCTTTCACATGGGAATGAAAATTAATAGATTTTTTCATAAAAACATTAATGAAATATCATTAGCTTGATCTGCAAGTAGCTTAAAAATGCAGTTGCTGTTAAGCCTAGCCTCAAATTTCATAATACCATAACTGTTTTTATATCTTGCCACTAATTTTGACTGGATTTAATAGCACTGTATTGTGCAATTACAAAAAAATATATTACTAGAATTGTTGCCAGTGTAATTTCTCTAATGTTCTGGTGCTTTTCATGTATTTTCAGTATTTTTATTACTATATTGGTATTTTTTTAAAATTTATTTTAAAGAGAGTAGCAAATGAGAAACAAACAAACAAAAAATAGAACAGTAGCAGAATACCAGTATCACAAACTAAACAAGTCAAAGCAAGAACATTTAAAGTGATACAGGGTTTCAAGACAAAATAATAGGAATTAACAGTGGTTGTTACATTACATATCGCTGTCCTCAACTGCATTGCTCAGATTACCAGATGTAAGAATGGAAGATTGCTCAAACCATTAAAGAGAATGAGAAAATAATTATTAGATAAAACATTAGAGATAATACAGAGTTACACCAGAGAAGATGGTAAGAATTCACCATTGTAATTCCATTGCATATTGTTACCTTCAAATCAGTTGCTTAGATTACCAGACATAGCGTCCAAAATCGATCAGGACATAAAAAATTGTAAACATTAACTGTTCATTTCAGTACACTATCAGACATCAGCAACACAGTTATCGCAGCTGTTCATATATATATTTACATTTTGCCTTCCTTCTTTCTTTTTTTCTTCTTTCCCTCATCCCAGTCATTCCTTCCTTTGAGCAATTTCTTTCCCTTTCCTATCACCTATTGTACACTTTGAGTTTTACCTAGTGGTACTTTCTATGTATAAGTTGATCAGAAAAACATGTTTTCTACTCTAATATGTTTTAGAAAAGTAATTACATTTATGAAATAAATATCCTCAGGAAAAAAAGAAAAATAAATACAAGTTAGCCTGGTCTTAGTCTCTCCAGTCTACCAAATGCCCTTTTCCTCTATGGAAATCTAAGGCTGAGAGCCAGACAGCCTGGTCCCACTAACAATCTCTCCATATATCACATGGCTCCCATATATTTGTTTCTTTATATTCATTTCTCTTATATCTAAGTCCATATCCCAACTGCTTGTGTCTCTAGGAACTTGCTCCCTAACTGTAGACTTTCCCCAGTGCAGCAGAAGTTCTCATCAACAGACCTGTCTATTACCAGGTTGGTGTCCAAGGGGAAGGAAGAGCTTAGAGCTAAGTGGAGCATGCTTTATTTATTCTCCAAAATTTACAGAGCAAATAAGGCACTTTCTACCTCCCAGTTTAGAATAAGTTAAGGAGGTATAGAGAAAGTTGGAGCTGCATGCACATCCAAGGAAACCAGTGTCCTTCCCACAAAAATCATTCATTAATATATTCACACAAATTAAAAGTGACTCTATTCAGGTATGGGTATTGGATGTAACAAATAAAAATACAGGACTCCTGGTTATATTTGAATTTCAGGTAAACAAATGACAACATTTTTAGTGTACGTATATGCCAAATATTAAAAAGGATTAAGACGCAATATATATATATGTACCAATTCACCATGATGAATGTGTTATATATCACAAACATATAGAAAACCCCCTGGGAATACATGCTATACAATGGGCCACTCTTGCTCCTGCCATTGAGAACCAGAAAGGTCTAGAGTCAGCAGAGAAGCAGCTGCTGAACAAGGACTCGGAGAACATGAGAATGCAGACTAAGCCCATGGAGTCAGAGGTCCAGTGGACTGGGTTCTCGAGAGCTGCTCAGAAGCTGTAAACCAGGAGGACCTTGCACAATACCTGCAGAGACTCATTGGAAGCCATTCTTCCCCTGACAGTACAGGCTGTGGTGGAGCTCTGGAGAAGTCTGCAGCAGGATTCCTTCTGCCTGTGCTGACAGTTGGGGAGAGGACACTAACTGGTTGTGGGGTCTCAATGCAATGGGAGGCTGGAGAGAAAACGCTACAAAAAATGGCTTTGGCCCCAGACGGCTCACTTGATTTTTGACAACCCTTAGGCTGTAACTACTTGTCAGATCCTTCTTGTGTATCTCTGTTTTCCTGAGAAACCACTTCTAAGATACCAACATGTATTACAGCAGTCATTGATATTTTCCTACTAATCTATCCATAACTCTGTAATGTTTGTATTGTTCCTATCCTATTTCATAAATGGATGCATGTTTATTATTATGTGTTTCCTACAACAACCATTGAGAATAGTTAATGATTATTCAATAGGCCACTCATGTATAGTTCTATTTATTTTCTTTCGAAGATACCTAAGTAGAGTACAACAACTATTGATAATCTCCTACCTCTTTTGTCTGTAACTCACTATATTTGTCTATTTGTTTTCCTGAGAAACTATCTTGTAGATAACAATATGTAAAACAATAACCATTGATAATTTCCTACCACTTTGTCTGTAATTTGGTAAGCCCCCCCTCCATTATTGTTATCCTTCTCTTACTCTTTAAAATAAAAAAAAATAGTAATTAAAAATATGAAGATTGCTGTTTGAGGCCAACTTGGGCTACACAGTGACTTCAAGGCCAGCCTGAACTACCTTGTTTCAAAACATCAAGAAAAGAGGGTAAGGCTAGATTGCAAATATTGTCTGAGACATAATTATAATAAAAATTATCATTTTTATCTAAATTTAAAACTTAACCGGGCACCTTATATTTTATTTGGCAACCCTACATGGACTGTCAGGCATTACTGCTGAAATTATAATGGAAACGAAAGGCATAGTTGGTGCCTTACAAGGAGGTATAAACTACAGTACTTTTGGCCCTACATGAATAATAACATTGAAAACGCTGCTTCTGAACATCTCTTTCCAACCACAGGAAACAACTGTTAGTAGTCATTAGCAACATCTTCACCTTTTACCAAGAAATAAATTTGCATCATGCGCAGAATTAGTCTATTTTGACACCTTACATCTCCAAGCTCTCCATATGCAGCTGAGCCCAGATTTTGTTGATGGGGCTGTAGAGAAATCACAAGTGAGTCTGAGACATTTCTTTCCTTAAAGATATTTATACTTACTGCAGTGAACTCTGTGGCAAAGGAATTAAAGTACCACTGACACACATGAGAAGAAAATCTAGACCAAACTGAGAGGTCAGAAGTAACACTCCTACTCTGCAGCTGACAGTGACTCTGCACTGCAAATGAACTGGTACAATTTTAATAGTTTAATTTCATTTAAATAAACAAATGCAACCAGTATCTTTTGCCAGGATATTGGAGGAAAATCTTTCTTATATACAACTGATCCCCTTCTGTTGCTATCCTGCTATTTACTGTTCATTAACTGTTCACTCATTCAGCACATACGTACCAAGAAATTAGTATGTAACAGGCATCTGAAACACAGCGGAGAACAAGCCAGACGCTCTCCAGACTGCATGTGATCCCACAGTCTCAGAGTAGAAAAAGAAATTACACAATCACAGAGATGAGTCATTTGCTGCAACAATCTTCCCCCTGGTTGTAAAGATGTCCTGAATGTTCACAACTCTCTGTCCTGGCATTTGCATTGCTGCGAAGGTTCTCTCTCTGTGTCAAGATCATGTATTCCAACAGTGGTGACATCACCACAGAGGAGGCAAAAGTTAGTCAGTGGGAAGGTACATAGTCCTTACTCTTTCTATGTGTACAATGCAAATATACATACAGCACACAAATACACGCACATCTGTGATATTAAAATTTCCTGAAGGAGAAGAATAACTAGAAGAAATATTTACAAAGACTCCTTAGAGGACTGATAGTGAAGAAAAAGGACAATAAACACCAGCCCAGGCTTCCTCATAGCCCATCCAACAATCCCTCCAAATATATTTACAAGATGTCTGCTTGAAAGAAAGCACTGTGAGAGGCTCAAGGGATGCGATATTAGATAAGAGAAACACGGGCACTTAAATGTTAATGGAGGGGAAGACATGCAAAAAAAGCAAGAACACAGAGAAAATAATTATTAGTTCTGATAAACACTGTGAGAAAAACCACATAGGATATTCACTGGAAAATAATCGGGTGGAATTTCCTTGATTGCAAGATGAGAGAAGGTATTTCTAAAAATAGTTGCTACTTTTAAAATAGAGTTTTTCCTATTTGCATGCTTATTTATTTACCTCCTAATTTGCACAGATCTGGGTGGAACTTAGAGGCAGCTTTCTTGCTACCTGAAAATTTCTATTATTTTCCCATTCATGACCTTTATATCAACTTATATAAAAGTGGAAAAGGCTTTGCACCTGCCATGACACCTGGCTATGTGTGACTCACACCAAAAATTACAGCAAAATTCTGCATTAATGGAGCATGTGGCAACCAGAGACGTGTGTATTTGAGTTTAAAAAGGGGGATTTCCATTTGAAAAAACGAGAAGCAAATTATTTGAATATGAGCAAATCTACAGCTTGACATTTTCAGAGAACTCAGTGAGGCCCAGCCTTGAAGATGTTTCTTCTGAGGGACTGGAACTGTTAGAAGATGACGCTCAACATCGGAAAGTGCACAGCAGCAGGGCTGAGTTATACTTCCAGGGGCAGCCATGCTTACAGTTTCAGCACCCAAGGGAAGACACGGTACTAAGTTCTTCTGCTTCCCTTTTTTTATTTTTGCAGATCTTACCTGAGTACAGTCCTCCCACCTTCCTTCTTTGACAGAGATAAGCCTGACTTGGTGAGACAAGCATGTCCTGCCCTCAGCTATGTCCGGTCCTCACACATCTGTGGCCTCTCCTGCTGACCCTGGGTGAGTAGATGGGCTGATCTGGTACAGTGCCCTCAGTTCCTGGTCAGCCAGGGGAAAAGCCTGACGTTCTGCTTCTTTGTCCTCCTTGGGAGCAGGAACTGATAGCAAGAGATGGGTAATGAGCAGACCTGGGGGCCCCAGCCTACCCCAGTCTCCAAATGCAAGCATCAGAGTAAGCTGATCCCTTGTCTTCTCAGCACTGCTTTTCTATTTTTTTTTTTGTGCTTCTCATCCCATGGAAAACTTGGACTGTTATTTGTGCCAAATTGTGTCCCTACATTCTTTCTTCTTATAATTTCAAACCAAATAAATTTTAGATAAGCAATAACTTTAAAAACTTAGATGATTTGTGCCCCACTTGGACAATTTAGCTAGATGTTATAAAATAAAATATAAAAAGGGCTGGGATGTAATTCATTGTGAAGATCCTGTGTTGAATGCTTGGCTAGTGAGAAAAATGAGAGAGAGAGAGAAAGAGAGAGAGAGAGAGAGAGAAAGAGAGAGAGAGAGAGTGAGAGACAGAGACAGACAGAGACAGACAGAGAGAGAGAGATTTTTAAGTATGCAGTTACTAATCATGCAATAACAAAGAGATGAGGCAGGATGATGGACACAAACTACTATACGGTTATGAAATAATCTATAGTGTAAATTTTCTCTTGTCTTTTAGGAGCTCTGGGTGGTATAGAATGGGAGCAAAGAATAAGGAGGAAAAGTAAAGAGGATGTTGTGGTTACTTTGTTGGAAAATTTCTCGTAGAGCTTCTATTTATTTTTGGTACCATAAATTGAACTCAGGACCTTGTGCTTGCCAGGCAGGCACTTATGCCACTGAGCTATAACCCCAGCCCTTGTAGAGCTTCTAAATGAAAGATTTGAGACACACTGCTCCATGCTAATTTTTGAATCTTGGTTCCTTCCCAGCTCCTGGAACAGAACAATCAGGTAAGTTCCCCTTTGTCTCTGTTCCGCCCAGGCTCTGAGCACTGATCTTCTTGGCCAGCACAGCCTGTCCCGTCCTAACCTTGTCAATGAGGGCAGCAGGGACATGCCACCCACTGGGGTGTTGCTGTTCTGGTATAACACATTATTATTTGGCAAAAGGACCCTGTTCTAACTTCCCTGGTCCCCAGTTCTCACTTATTACCAAGGAACCAGATGTAGAGAGGGAGAAAAGATTTGAAGAAGAAAGGGTAGAGGTAGAAGGCTGCTGCCAAGTGAATCTCAGATCTGATCTTGGTTCCCTAAGACCTCTCCTTGTGTATGCTCAAACTAGTGCCACTGTCAGCGGAAATAGAAATAGCTCCCATGCACAGCAGCACAGGCTATCATAAAATCCTTATATGTGTTTAAAAGGAGCTCATGCCACTGTCATTCTTCAGCTTCCCAGGCCCATCAGTCAGTGGCAGCTCTCAAGCAAGTCTGATTTCTTTCACTGCCCATCCTTCATTTAAATGCTGTAGGCCCTTTAAGTATTCATTGTGCCTGATGTAGGTGAAGTGTGGAAGAAAGATGCCTTCCTCTAGATTCTCTACTAAACAAAGTTCAAAAGTAATAAAAGTGGAAAAAAATATTGTTCATTAAATGTTGGTAGCTAAGCAAGGAGTGGTTTTCTAGTCTAAAAACTGCGTTGGTGGTATATACTTCCCAGGTTCACCTTTACCTCAGTTGTAATGAATACAACAGGAGCGTTTTAGAATCAGCCCATGTGCTGAGGCCCTCACAGTGTTTGTCCAATGACAAATCATATCTTCTGAGTTTTTCTGACCTGCACCAAGAACCTGAGTCCTATTGTACCTGCTTGCCCATGTCCAGGCTAAGCCAAGGAAAAATAAGAACAGATTCTGTCTCGGGCTCTTTTTCATGTTTCTTCTGCTCCATTTCTAATGCTGGTCCTGGCTGAGAGCTAGCTCTGGAAACTCCCAGCTGCAGAGCAAGGCCCTCCATGGATTGTGCCTACTCTACTTCAGTGGCCTTTATCTTTCTATCTGCTGTTTAGGTGTATCCCCCAAAGCTGTGCTTCTGCTTGATCCTCCATGGTCCACAACATTCAAAGGAAAAACAGTGACTCTCAGATGCATGGGTTTTCCTTCCTCAACCAAGGGAAACAGATTTTGGCAGAATGGCAAGTTATTGGATACAGTATCTGAAATGATCAGCATTACATCATCTGGGAATTACCAATGCAAGACCCCTGGATCCTCTCTCAGTGACCCTGTGCATGTGGAATTTTCCTCTGGTGAGGAAAGGATGTGGGAAATCTCAATAGTCAAGCCACTGAGCAGAGAATCTGAAGAATGGGTTAATGTGGGGGAACACAAGCAGAGGTGTAAACAGTATGGGCAATGTGTGATGTGCTGACTCCAGTGGTAGGGCAGTAGCACAGCCCCACACCGTCCACCTCCTCCAGCAAGAGAAGTGTCCACATCCCAGAGGCCACCAAACATAAGAGGCCTATGTCTGAAGAAAGGCATGGGATACAATTCCTCTTTTGTTTAAAGACATGTAAAGATTTCTCAAGGACATTTTCTGGAAATTAGTTCTTTCACATAAGGCAAGGAAGAATGTGGTACTGAGGATGTGGACACATTGGTGGAGGAGATGTTCATGTGTGTATAGGGCTGTAGCTCTTTTGTAGGGTAGAAATGAGACTGAAGAAAGAAACCATAGGGGTGAATTGAAAGCATTCTCCACTCTTTGCAGACTGGCTGATCCTCCAGGCCCCACACCCCGTCTATGAAGGAGATGATGTAATTCTGAGATGTCAAGGGAAAGAACAACAGAAGATAATGGGAAAGAATTACTACAAAAATGGACAAGAACTTCGCGACAGTTATAATTTAGACCACATCACTATAAATGCAGTCTCCATGGACCCTGATAAATATAAGTGTACTGCTTCTAGGAAAGCTTTCCTACGGTCAAAGGAAGAAACTTCAAAACCTTTAAGGATCCAAGTTCAAGGTAATGGCTAAATTCCTGTGTGATATAAGTTTGGGCAATAAAATTGTGAGAATTGAGAGTGAGTGCTTTTTAGTGGGTATTTCATGAAAATTCTTTCGTGGACCAGCCATAGGCAGGGATGGTCCCACCTGGATGATCCTCTACTTCCTGCTGGTTGGTGCTTAGAACACAGGTGTATGTCTCCAGGAGTCTGTATCTCACTACCCTAAAGATTATTTGTTCTCTCTAGAGCTGTTTCCACAGCCTGTGCTGACTGCTCACCCCTCCCAGCCCATAGAGGGTGGCCCAGTGACCCTGACCTGCGAGACCCAGCTCCTGCCACAGAAGCCACATATCCAGCTTCAATTCTGCTTCTTCAGAGATGTCCACACCTTGGGGACAGGCTGTAGCAGCTCCCCAGAGCTCCAGATCCCTACTATGTGGACTGAAGATTCAGGTTCCTACTGGTGCCAGGCAGTGACTCCCAGGATCACAAAAAGCAGCCTGAAGTCTCAGATACATGTGCAGAGTGAGTGTCCAAAGGTCTGTGCTTACAGAGTTGAGGCTGGGGAGAGGAAAGTGGAACATAAACCAGGACAGTGGGTGTCGATAGGACTTGCCCTCTGTAGGCTCAGTGTTGGCTTAACTGATCTAATACATTCTCTTCCATCTAAGTTAGGTCATGGTGGTTAATGAGAAGTTAAAGGGGCTCAAACCTTTAAGAGTTACAAAGATGTACAGGATATGTTGTTGCATGAGTCAACGGATAATCAGAAGCTCCCATGGCAACATGCGGTCTCTAGAGACCCCTATGTTTGACCTCACGTCATATCAAAAATAATCAAAAGAGGAGAAGATGAATATGAACTGGAATAATCAGAGAAGAATGTGAGAATATTCAGTTTATATTCTATAAACATGTGAAAGACTGAATTTAGAGCCATATTTTCCAAAATGTATGAAAATAATTAAAAATGGATCAAAGACTTCACTAGAACCAACAGAAACTATCTACCAAAACATAAAATATGGAAAACTTAGCTATTGCTATGGGTGGCAACTTTCTGAATAGAACCCCAATTACAGTTTTGCTTGCCAGGGTGAGACTGAAGAGTTCTGGAAGAATAGGAGAGCAGTTTGGATTCTGAGGAAAGTTACTTCAGGCTGGAAGTAATTGTGCTCTCTGTTATTCTGTGATCTGTTACTGCATCAAAGATTCATAGATGTTCACAAAATGGATCTTCTGGTATCATTAGTTTATGCCTCTCTCTCTCTCTCTCTCTCTTTTTTTTTTTTGGTACGGAGAATCAAACTCAGGACCTCATGCTTGCCAGGCAAGCACTTATGCCACTGAGCTATTTCCCCTGCCCCATCATTAGCTTTAGATAAATACCGGAACTGGTGCCTAAATTTCCAGAGTGCGAATCCTGAGAGTGGGGAGGAATGTTTTTCTCTTTACAAAATATGCACAAGGAATGACTTATTCCCTACTTTGGGCCCCAGCCTATTGCGAAAGCACCAGATTTTTCTTTGACATCGAAGTCTTTTCTACCAGGACCCTTACATGTTATCTTCTATCTTTCCAGGGATCCCTGTGTCTAATGTGAATCTGGAGATCCAGCCAACAGGGGGGCATCTGATTGAAGGACAGGATCTGGTCCTTACCTGCTCAGTAAAAAAAGGCACAGGGAATATTACCTTCTCATGGCACAGAGATGGAATTAGAATTCCGGGTAGAAAGACCCAGCGTTCCCAGTCGGCAGAACTGCAGGTGCCCGCAGTAATGGAACGTGATGCAGGGCGATATTACTGCACAGCTGACAACAGTGACGGCCCCATCCTTAGCAATAGGATTACAGTCACTGTGAAAAGTAAGTTTCTGGTTCCTTTTACTCAGCCTTGACTCGCAAGCCAAGATTTAAGATCTTCATCCGCCATGAGGATCTTTAAGGAGAAGGATCAGAGATGTGAAAGCTATCCAAGCAACCACAGAGTTGACAAAATAAATTGAAAACACTTTCACAACTTGTGGAGAGGAATGAGTAGTAATGGGGAAAAAAAATTACCGTGGATTACTTTTCAGGGTTTAAGGACATTTCTTCTGATTGTTAGAGGAGAAAAGTGTAGTCAGTGAGAAACAGAAACGTTCGGAGTCTGCGTTTATTTTTAAGGCCCTGGAGTGGGGTTATGAGTATTTCAAATCCTCAGATGTTCTCTGACAGCCCTTTCATCTTCTGCAGTTCCAGTTTCTAACCCAGTCCTCACCATCCGGGCTCCCAGGACCCCGGCGGTGGTGGGGGATGTGGTGGAGCTTCGCTGTGAGGTCCTGAGAGGATCTCCTCCCATCTTCTACCTGTTTTATCACGAGAATGTCAACTTGGGGAGCAGCTCAGCCCCCTCTGGAGGAGGAGCAGTTTTCAACCTCTCCTTGACTGTGGAACACTCTGGAAAATATTCATGTGAGGCTGACAATGGCCTGGGGCCCAAGCGCAGCCCCGGAATAAGCCTGAAGGTCATAGGTAAGCCAGCTGTGCTACGGGTTTACGAGCTTGCGTCAGGCTGTGTCTTTCACAGAGCCCCGCTGGGTTTTTGGTGGAGTGACATCCCGCAGACTTCTCACACGCTCCGCCTCTATGTTGGAGTACCGGGGCTATTCCGTGTGACTTCACATTCAGTAATTTACAACATCTTTTTATTTCTTGTCACTGTCTTCAACAACCATATATATGCCTCTCAGTCATTCTAAAAGAAGCATAGAGACTTTCCAAAATACTAGACCCATGTTTATTCAATAATTACTGACAAAGGAACATGCAACAGAAATGCTTATTTCTGAATTCCTTTGTCCAGGAAAAAATTACTAGACCATTTCTTGCCATGATTTTCTATGCCTTCCTCTGTCCAATCTTAATCTTTATTTGGCCTCCTGGTCATTAGATAAAGTATTTTTAAAAGTGTCTACTAAGTGCTATAGAATCAATAGGCACTGAGCCAAAGAACAACACAAAACAAAACAGAATTACCAAAAATCAAATAGTAGCCTTTCTCTGTAAAATTTTTTTGTTTGTGTTAGTACATGTTCCTAGCATATATAAATTCATCATGGGAAATTGGCACATGTATATAGCACAGGCTACTTGCTTTTATTTATTTATTGATATTTTTTATTTTAAAGAGAAAGGGACCAAAAAAAATAACAAAAACAAAGACAAAAGTAAAGCAATACAAATCTATAAACATGATACAGAATTTGAAAATAAGATGATAGGAAATCAATAATGGTTGTTGTATTATTGTTATCGTCAAAATAGTTGCTCAGATAGGCTATTTGTTTTAATTTCCCTCTCCACTCCCACCCCACCTTCCTTCTGGATACATTCCCATTTGCAAAGATCTATATCCTATATCCTATTATCCTTTTTTAAATTTTGCTTTTTAAACTATGTGTATTTTGGACTTCTCCATAAGAGAAATCATGTGAAATTTAACCTTGTGTATCTGATTTATTTCACTTAATATTATGGTCTCAAGATAACCCAGTTTTCTACAAATGACACAAATTTATCTTTGTGTATAAGTACCACATTTTATTTATCCATTCGTCTATTGATGGGTATATTGGCTGCTTCCAAAATTTAGTTATTAAAAGTTGTTCTGCTATACACATAAGTAAGCAGGTATCATTGTAATATGATGTCTTTAACTCTTTTGGAAAGATACCTAGAGAGGAATAGCTGGATCAAGTGGAATTTCTATTTTTAGTCTTTTGAGGAATCTCCCTAGTTATTTCCATAGTAGTTGTATTAGTTTATATTACAATAAAAATGTAGGAGTGTTCCTTTTCCCCCACAGCCTCACTAACATTTGCATTATTTGATTGTTGATGACAGCCGTTCTTTCTGGAGTAAGGTAGAATCTCAGTATTGTTTCAATTTGCATTTCTCTAATGAGCATTTTCTTATGTATTTATTGGCCATTTATATTTCTTCTTAGAAATATCTATTCATTTCATAGGCCCATTTTTGATTGGGTCTTTTATTTTTGGAGGCCTAATTCTTTTAAATTCTTTTTGTATTCTAGATATTAGTCAGAGTCTGAGCAGTAGCTTGCAAAAAATTTTCCTATCATGTAGTTTGTCTCTTCACCCTGTTGGTTATTTCCTGTGCTATGCAAAAGGTTTTTTTTTTTAATGTGGTATAATCCGATTTGATTCTTCATGTTATTTCTTGTGTAATTGGGGTTCTATTCAGAAAGTTGCCACCCATAGCAATAGCTAAGTTTTCCATATTTTATGTTTTGGTAGATAGTTTCTGTTGTTCTAGTGAAGTCTTTGATCCATTTTTAATTATTTTCATACATTTTGGAAAATATGGCTCTAAATTCAGTCTTTCACATGTTTATAGCCAGTTTCCAGCAGTATTTGTGGAGGAGGCTATCTCTCCTCCAATCTATGTTTTTGGCTCATCCGTCAAAGATCAGAGAGCTTACTGTGCTTGAGATTGTTTCTGCATCTTCTATTTGGTTCCGTTGATCAACATGTCTGTTTTTGTGCCAGTACCATGCTGTTTCATCACTATAATTCATAATATAACTTATACTCTGGAATTGTGATGCTTTCTGCTTTGCTTTTGTTACACAGTATTGATCTTGCTCTTCTGGGTCTCCTCTGATTCTACATGAATTTTAGGATTGTATTCTCTAGTTCTGTGAGGAATGCTGTTGGCACTTTGATTGGGATTTCATTCATTTTGTATATCTGTTTTGGTCGTGTGGCTGCTTGACAATACTGGTTCTTCCTGTCCAGGAATAGGGGATATCTTCCCATTTTCTGATGTTCTCTTTAACTCTCTTTGCAGAATACTATAGTTTCCTTTATAGAGGCCTTGAACTTCCTTCATTAGATTAATTTCTACGTATTTAATTTTTCTTGACACTATTATGAATATTATCTACTGATGTCTTTTTCAATGAGTTCATTATTAGTGTGGAGTGACACCATTAATTTTGTGTACTGATAATGTATCCTGCTACAATGTTGAATTTCTTTATTAATTCTAGGAGTCTTTCTCGGTGGAATTTTTGCATTCTTTATGTAAAGGATCATGTAATCTTTGAATAAGGATAGTTTGACTTCTTTCTTTCCTGTACATATTCCTTTTACCTCCTCTTTCTTAACTGCTCTGTCTAAAGTCTTGAGTACTACATTGACCAGGAATGATGACCGTGGATATCCTTATCATGCTCCTACTTTTAGAGGAAAAGCTTTTAGTTTTTTTCCCATTTAATATGAGGTCAGCAGTATATTTGTTTTTGTTTTTTTTTTTTTTGTTTGTTTGTTTTATTTTTCTCTGGTAGTAGGAATCAAACTCATGACCTTGTGCTTGCCAGGCAGGGGCTGAACTGCTGAGCTAAATCCCCAGCCCCCTTTATTTGTTATAAATGGTTTTTATCAGATTAAGTACCTTCTACACCAGTTTTCTTAAGGGGTTTTATCATGAGTGAGTGTTAGATTTTTCAAAGGCATTTTCTGCTGCTATTGAGATAATAATATGATTTTTATCCTTGCTTCTGTTTATGTGATGTATTACATTTATTGATTTGTGGAAGTTGACCCATCCTTGTATCCTTAAGATGAAGCCCATTTGATCATGATGTATGATCTCTTTGATGATTTGTTACCTTC